ATTCATTGGTTGTTGTGATAAGTTTGTGTCACGTGATGAGTAAATAGTTTGTTGTGTGGGAGTGAACTGTGAAGATGGCCACTGGTGGATCAGGTTAGCTCTTGTCTCAGTATCAAGTGTTAGTGTTTGATTCACTTTATTTCACTTTACATTAGGAAGGGATACTAAATATTGGGGATGGTTATTATATGAGGAGAAAGGTTTAAATGAATATGTAGCAATATTTATTGTAGCTAAAGATGTAGACACACTCTCTGATGTAAGTATATTATAATGAGGTATATTGTGTACATGATGTGTATTAATGTGTTTATTTACAGTATAGGGACAGGAAGCACCCTAAGAGAGGTTATCATTCAAGTATTTCCTTTACATTTGCCCAGCAGCAAGACTCTACACTTACATCAAGAGGTGATTATATTGAATTAAAGTTTGATACTCCACAAGTTAAGGCAACCACTGGATGGATTATTAAACCTGATACAGTACCTTGTAGAGTAAGTACCGTAAATGTTCAAATAAAAGCTGGGCTTGAATAAACGCCTGGTACTAACATAGATTTAATACACAGACCGGGATTGGAAGCTTCCCCGTTTTATTTTAATTCCGTGCATGATTGGTGTTATCGTTGCTATGGTTATTATTACAGTTTATTAATAGTTATTAACAAATAAAATGGCCATCGGTGAACTTTTTCTCTTTTGTGCAGTGTTCTCCAGCCTCTCTTGCATCTCATAAAACAAGGAAGAAGCTGAACTGCTGGTGGAAGTTAATAATGACCTTTCTTTACATTCTGCATCTACAAAAATTGCTTAAATCATGGAATAGTAAATCGAAAGAGCTTGCATGTTGTGTATCTCGTGACATTTACCTTCAATTGATTTTAGCATGATTATAAACAACTAGAATCATTAAACTATGCTATTCCACTAGTGGAAGGATTTCTTCATCACATGCAAGTATCAAACAATAGGTCCGATGATGAGATCCAAAAAATGAGTCCCACAAAGTACAACACCTTGATTTTACATTTTCTGGTTTTATTGCTCCTTTTGGTAGAATAATCAACCAAAAATAGTCTGTTCCACTGTAGCTACATGTGGTGGCTGCTTTTAAGTAATCAGTGAACTGCCTAACCCCCTACAGTTGGGCATTAGTCCCACAAAGTTTTGCGCAGATTCAAACTTTTTCGCCATTGAAATGTTAGCAGCAGCTGCTAGTTATTAACAACAAGGATGGGTCATTGATAAGTAATGCACTCACGTGATCTGTTTCCAATCCCAGTCTGTGTATTAAATCTATGGTACTAAGAATCTCCAAGTATAGATACGCATATTTTACTCAATATAAGTACCACAGTCTTTAGAGTGTCCCAAATGGCCTAACTTGTTAAGCTGAGTGCAATGAACCTGGAGGTCCGGGTTCGAATCTCAGTTTTTCTTTTTCATTTTACGCAATTTTTTGTCCTGGAAAGAAATAAACGCCCGGGCTTTTATTTGAACATTTACGGTACTAGTATCACGTATTTATATATATATATATATATATATATATATATATATATATATATATATATATAATTAATGTGTGTGGGTGTGTATCAATAGATATATAGAAGTGATGTTGATAAGGTTGGTACACCTGGTTATCCTGACCCTCGATCCTCCAGTATATCAGTACATGCTACACCTGATGCTGTTCTTAGACTAAAGTATACTATACCACTGGAAGGTGTGGTGGTTACAGGTGGTGGTACATTGTACATTGGAAGGACATTGAGAAGTAAGATAGATGAGAGTGGGTGTGGTCTAGTATTAATAACCACACCCATTACACTACTCCCAATGCTGGCACTAATATAACGATATTCATACCTTCAGTAGTATAAGTATTGTATTAATAAATAATAATTTAATTGACCATTGACACATACCGTGAACCATCCTTATGATTTTAATAATTAATTTATGTTCCATTACTCCATAGGTCCTCTATTAGACATTAATGATTTACAGTATGTACTTGAATCATTGAATGAAGCTGGCTTCCCACAGGGGAAATGGGGACTTCTTGGTTTTGTTTTAGGATTACGTTCTAATACACTGGAGGCTATTAAGGCTGAGTATCCAAGAGATGATCAAGGATGTCTTAGGCAGTGTCTAGTAAAATGTTTAGAGACAGCTGATGCTGTTCATGAAGAAAGAAGTCCAAGAATGACCACTCTATGTGCTGCTCTTGAGGACGCTCATGAGAAAGCAGCAGCTGATTATATCAGTAAGTTATTATTATTATAAAAATGTTAATACATTGTATCTATTCTTATGTAGTTTTACATGACACAAGCTTTGATAATATAATTTATGTATTGTCTTATATGAAGTTTCTTTTTATGTTTATTTTTAGT